GTTTTTGCACGGCCTTTCTCGGGGATATGACAGAAATTACGTTAAAACTGAAAATCGTTAGATTACATAAGAACAAAACGCAAACAGACGGTAAAACCGACCAAGGCGGACGCCAAGCACGCCAATCAAAGAAAAACATTCTGTCTTGTGTTACTTAACACAGGATAACGTTTCATGTTAACGTTTATGGCACTTGGACCTTAAGCTAACTTCGCGGTCGTCATGATGATCGCCCACGCCGGAAACGAGAGGAGCCGGGAATTGATTGAAGCCTGGTCCACGGAAGGGAACCCAATCAGTCGATGCATCGATTTGGCGCCGGCGTACAGAGCCCTGCGCAGTCAACAGCAGAAGCGCGTCATTGATAGTTGATTGGTTTGCACTCCCTATAATTGTCGCCTTCTTCGTTGCTGCTGCTCAGAGCAATAAACTGTTTCGGCGCTCGGCCAGCCTTCTCTCTTAGTCCTTTTTCACATGGGCAAATAGGGGTGGGGGTGCTTACAGCTAGCTGATGACGGCTCATAAGCCAAAAATAAATGTTTCAATCTTCCATGTCCTTGTCGGCAGTCGCTGCCTTCATGTATTCCTAGTCGCTGTACGCACGCCCACAGGTCTCTAGATCGAGCCTCTAAGCACAAGGGGACGAGCAAGTCTCTTAACGCAATCGCCGAGCCCCTTCTACCATAAGAGATATCTTTAAATGACAGACATCCCCAGTGGATTTACGAAACATTGCCGGTCATGAATTTTTTAAATCGAGCTGTGCGTTTCAGTCACGCTATTACGTATTAATCATTCAAATTTACTTCTGTCGCAGGAAGAGGAGGAGAAAGAGAAGCATAATTAACTGATCAAGTGACAAAGCGGATAATGTCCAAATTGGTATTGCCGGCCAAGACAAGGGAGACTGGAATGACCATTTCTGACTTATTAGCCGTCGTCTTTGGCGGCAGTACTACCAGGTGTTACAGCTGTCAGGGTCTCTGCCGATACTCAAGGCAGAAGGGGACAGACGAGTCCCGTTAGCGGTCGGGTGAACGTTCATCGACGAGTGACCCAATATCCCCCGACCTAAACCGGCGAGACAACGACCTCGTGGCTCAGTGTTCAGAGCGCTTTATTATGATCAAAAAAGTCGCTAGTTCGAACCTCGGGTGGTGCACCACTTGGGTCTGGGTATGACGGCCAATGACGACGGCCAATGAACCAGAAATGGGCATTTCAGTCTACCTTGTCTTTGCCGGCAAAACT